ACCTTTTATAAAACAAAATCCACCAACCCCCTGTCCCTAACCTTTTAATATACAAAGCTGTGGGCCAAACAATCTCCCCTCCCCCACAGGACCATTCTTACCTGCTCTGGTGACCAAAGTCCCATAGACTTGTGTAAGATATACCCATATAGCAGGAGCTACATCCCACTGAGGTCTCTGGAGCATTGGTGCCCAAGTGCAAGCTGCCCAACACTACTGGATGGGGTATGTGTATTGAGGGGGCAACGTACTGTAGACATGAAAGGTGAATATACTGTATATAGCAAACAATATCAAAGAATGAAATAGTTACATGGTATTATATTATTTTTTTAAAAAGTATAAACCTTGAAGGAATTTTCTGGAAAACAGCACTTCCGTGTAGATTTCCATCCTTACTCCAGCTCCCTGCATCTCACTGATTATCTCGGATTCTTAGAGAGTTTGACAACTTCAGCTTTAGATGATATATAGCATTACAGACCTCTAATTTAGATATAATGGAGCTCTATAAGCACGATTATTTATACATGCTGGACATTAATCACAAAACCGATGTACTGTGACTGATAACCAGACAATTTGCTGTTACATAAAAGTACTGCACATGAGTCAGCAGGCCATTGATATTACTAAACAAAGTTTTCAGAAGGGTCATTTTTAGCTTTCAGGAACCTTAAAGAAAGAATGTTGCATAAAAACTGTACATCACACCATAAAACATCTATCCTTTGATTATGTTTTTACATAACTGCAGTGTTTCAGAAAGCATTACTCCTCCAGCACTGAATGTATGTAATGGTAAGGGGTAGAGAAATGTGCTGGGGGGCTTTTATTGAAGAAGAGTCTGTTGTTGCTGGGGATGTCTAATGTTGCTGGTGGAGGATTTATTGTTACTGGGGGAAGGGGGGTCATATGATGCTGGGGGGGGGTAAATTTTTGCTTGGAGGGATCTACTGTTGAAGGAGGGGTCTACTGACTGATGATGGTTCTATTGATGCTGGCTGTTAAGAGATATTTTGATGCTGGTGGGGGGAGGGGGGTCTATTGTTGCTGGGCTGGATCTATAGTTGCTGGGGGTCTATTGTTACTGGGAGGTCTATTGTTGCCGGGGGGGGAGAGATTTACTGTTTTTCTTGTTATCATTAACAAATTCAGTACAAATGACTTACCATCATAAAATGATACTTGGTTTTGCACAGCAGCATCACTATGGGGGTGTAGGGGGTGCACACCGCACCAGGATGACACTTGCCAGAGGGGTGACACCAGCATAAGGCAGATAAGGTAAGAGTCCCCTTATGCTCTGATGCCGCTCACACCTGGTAGCCAGACCTGACTCACAATGCCCAGTGTATAGTATAGTGTGTATCCAGGTGTCCTGATGTCACTCTGCCCCCTCTCCTGTCACTTTGCCCCCTTCCCGTCACTCTGCCCACCTCCTGTCACTTTACCCCCCTCCTGTCACTTTACCCCCCTCCTGTCACTTTGCCCCCTTCTGTTACTCTACCCACCTCCTGTCACTCTGTCCCCCCCCTCCTCTCACACTACCCCCCTCCTATGACTCTGCCCCCCTCCTTTCACTCTACCCTCCTCCTTTCACTCTGCCCCCTCCTCTCAAACTGCCTCCCTCCTGTCACTCTGCCCTCCTCCTGTCACTCTTCCCCCCCTCTTCTCACACTGCCCCCCTCCTGTCACTCTGCCCCCCCCTCCTCTCACATTGTCTCCCTCCTCTCACACTGCCCCCCTCCTGTCACTTTGCCCCCCCCTCCTCTCACATTGTCTCCCTCCTCTCACACTGCCCCCCTCCTGTCACTCTGCCCCCCTTCTCTCACACTGCCCCCCTCCTGTCACTCTGCCCCCCTCCTGTCACTCTGCCCCCCTTCTCTCACATTTTCTCCCTCCTCTCACACTGCCCCCCTCCTGTCACTCTGCCCCCCTCTTCTCACACTGTTCCCCTCCTGTCACTCTGCCCCCCTCTTCTCACACTGCCCCCCTCCTGTGATACTGCCCCCTCCTCTCACACTGCCCCTCTCCTGTCATACTGCCCCCCTTCTCTCTCAATGCCCCCATTCTGTCACACTCTGACACTGCCCCCTTATACCATACTGCCCTCCTCTTCTCACACTGCCCCCCCTTCCTGTCACTCTGCTCCCTCATCTCACATTGCCCCAATTCTGTCATACTGCCCCCTCCTCTCACACTGCCCCCTTCTGTCATACTGTTCCCCTTCTCCACACTGCCCCCCCCTTCCTCTCACACTGCTCCCTCTCCTCTCACTCTGCCCCCCCTCCTCTTACACTGCCCCCTACTCACATACTGCTCCCCCCCCCCCCATCATACTGCCTCCCTCCTCTCACACTGGCCCCCTTCTGTAACTCTGCCCCTCCCTCCCCCTGTCACTCTGCCCTCCTCCTGTCACTCTGCCCCCCCCCCTTCTCACACTGCCCCCCTCCTGTCACTCTGCCCCCCTCCTCTCACCTCCCTCCTCTCACATTGTCTCCCTCCTCTCTCACACTGCCCCCCTCCTGTCACTCTGTCCACCTCCTGTCACTCTGCCCCCCCTCCTTTCACACTGCCACCACTACTGTTACTCTGCCCCCCCCCCTGTCATATTGCCCCCCTCCTGTGATACTGCCCCCCCCTCTTCTCACACTGCCCCCCTCCTGTCATACTGCCCCTTCTGTCATACTGCCCCCCTTCTCTCACAATGCCCCCATTCTGTCACTCTCTCACACTGCCCCCTTATATCATACTGCCCTCCTCCTCTCACACTGCCCCCCCCCTCCTGTCACTCTGCCCCCATCGTCTCACATTGCCCCAATTCTGTCATACTGCCCCTTCCTCTCACACTGCCCCCTTTCTGTCATACTGCCCCCCTCCAGTCACTCTGCCCCCCTCCTCTCACACTGCTCCCCTCCTCTCACTCTGCCCCCCCTCCTCTTACACTGCCCCCTACTGACATACTGCTCCCCCTGTCATACTGCCTCTCTCATCTTACACTGCCCCCCTTCTGTAACTCTGCCCCCCCCGTCACTCTGCCCTCTTCCTGTCACACTGCCCTCCTTCTGTCATACTGTCCCCCTCCTGTGATACTGCCCCCCCTCCTCTCATACTGCCCCCCTTTTGTCACACTGCCCCCCTTATATCATGCTGCCCCCTCCTCTCACACTGCCCCAATTCTGTCATACTGCCTCCTCCTGTCATACTGCCCCCCTCCTCTCACACTGCCCCAATTCTGACATACTGCCTCCTCCTCCTGTCATACTGCCCCCCTCCTCTCACACTGCCCCAATTCTGACATACTGCCTCCTCCTCCTGTCATACTGCCCCCCTCCTCTCACACTGCCCCAATTCTGTCACACTGCCACCCTCCTATCATACTGCCCCCCTCCTCTCACACTGCCCCCTTCTGTCACACTGTCACCCTTATATCATACTGCCTCCCTCCTCTCACACTGCCCCCCCCCCCCCTTCCTGCCACTCTTCACCCCTCCTGTCACTCTGCCTCCCTCCTCTCACACTGCCACCCCTCCTGTCACTCTGCCCCCCTTCTCTTACACTGCCTCGTTCTGTCACACTGCCCCCCTCCTGTCACACTGCCCCCCTTCTCCCACACTGCCCCCTTACTGACATACTGCTCCCCCCTGTCATACTGCCCCTCCTGTCATAGTGTCTCCTTCCTCTCACTCTGCCCCCCCTTCTGTAACTTTCTGATCATACTGCCCCCTTCTCGCACACTTCCCCACTCCTGTCACTCTGCCCCCCATCCTGTCATTCTTCCCCCCACCTCTCACACTGCCCCCCCTCCTGTCACTCTGCCCCCTGTCCTGTCACACTGCCCCTCACTCTCACACTGCCCCCCATCCTGTCATACTGTCCCCCTTCTGTTATACTGCCCCCTTCCCTCACACTGCCCCCTTCTGTTATACTGCCCCCCTCCTCTCACACTGCCCTTCTTCTGTCATACTGCTCCCCCCTCCTCTCAAGCTGTCCCCTCCTCTCACACTGCCCTTCTTCTGTCATACTGCTCCCCCCTCCTCTCAAGCTGTCCCCTCCTCTCACACTGCCCCTCTTCTGTCATACTGCCCCCCCCTCCTCTCAAGCTGTCCCCTCCTCTCACACTGTCCCTCTTCTGTCATACTGCCCCCCCCCCCCTCCTCTCAAGCTGTCCCCTCCTCTCACACTGCCTCCCTCCTCTCACACTGCCCCCCACCTGTCATACTGCCCCTTCCTTTCATACTGCCCCCCTCTTGTAACACTGCGCCCCCTCCTCTCACAAACACACCTCTCCTGTCACTCTGCCCACCTCCTATCACATTGGGGTATGTAATTGTACTGGGGGAAATAATCTGCGGTAATTATAATGGGGGGGGGGGTATTGTGGGATAATGAGAACTATGAAGTGTGTGTGGGTGGGGGGGGGTGAAATAATCAGATGTAATATGGGGTAGTTATCATTGGGGACCTGTTCTTGATCATCCACTGTACTCCTCTGATTTGGCACCTGCAGACTTCTTTCTGTTTCCCCACCTGAAGAGCGTCATGAAGGGCACATGTTATGCGGATGTGGCGGCAATCCAAGAATGCGTGACAGCGGTTCTGTGATCGATTTCTGAAGAGGCCTTTGCTGACAGTTTCCAGAAGCTTTATGAACAGTGCCAAAAGTGTGTTGTGTAGGATGCCAATTATTTTGAAGGCAAATAAAGGTAATTTGTTTGTATCTTCTGTTTTGTTTGTTTCCTGATACCATTCACCAAACTTTTTAGACACACTTTGTAGTTTGTGAGCTTCTTTGTATCATAGTACCACACTGTAGTGTCTTAAAAGTTTCATTATTTCAGTGCTCTGGAGGCATGAAGGATGCCCAGTCTGAAGCCTTTAAATAATCTCGCGCCTGCTTGTATCTGTTTTGAACAGCCATACTCCAACTTTAGCCACCAATGGGCGGCCGCTGTAGGCAAAGCAGCCTACTTCTCGGTTTCAGGTGTGCACCCCACGGCAGGGGCGGACTGAAAACTCATGGGGCCCCCGGGCAATAGGGGATCATGGGGCCCCTGTGTCCTTGCCAAACTCAAAAAAGCCTATGAAAAAGGTACCAGGGGCATCTCATGGGGCCGCCTACTGACCCTGGGCCCTCGGGCAGTGCCCGAGTTTCCAAATGGTCAGTCCGCACCTGCCCCACGGCCAGCACCTGCTGTGATTGTACACAGCGGCAGCCTCTCAGTAAGTCCTGGCCAGTGATTCACGGCCAGGATTCACTGTCATTAATACAGTGAAAGTGTGTCACTTTCACTGTACTAATGACACTGCCTGGGAAGGGGTTAACATCTAGGGCGAATAAGGGGTTAAATGTGTATGTGTAATGTATGCAAAGTGTGCTGCTTTTTTTTTTTTTCAGCAGCCCCTGAACTCACCCTAATGTTTTCCTATGTGTCCATGTACACTATGTCATTTACAGTCATTTACAGGCAGTTGAGTTTACAGCAGTAGATTTTATCAGCGTTTCAAATGCAAAACGCTTGTAAACTCGTGTAAATGAAGCTAAATGCGGCTAACCACGTTTATAGGCGTTTGCAATTGAAATTTTTTTTTAAGTCTTCCATTTCCAGATGCTGTCCAGATCCTTTTTTCATCATAAAAAATGCATGCAAAACGTTTCCCGGTACTCAAATAGACCTGGCACACCATACTTTGAGGTTTTGCGTGAAAAAAAAAAATATGTTAGACCCTGCTGCAATAATTTCTGCACAGAAATGAGCTGGAACACATCCAAACACCACAAAAAAAAAGACAGCTAATCTCAACAAATACTGCTCTCTCTCCACCTGCTCTCTCTGCATCTGCTCTCTCTATTTCTCTCAAAATGTCTGAAATAGTAAATTTTTTACTGTTTTTCAGTGCTTTCTGGGCATTTTGGAAGGTCTCCTGAGGTTATCTTAAAAAATGCTTCTAAACGCAAACGCTCATAATCGCGGTATGCGAATGCATCTAAACAGGCGTTTTTAAACCGACGTTTTCCAGCAGTCAGTTTCCATCGTTCAGAAGTGTCCTGTGTAAATGGGGCCTTAGTGTCAGATTGCCTACTGCACTATATCACAGTCCCACTTAAGTCATTGATTACCAGCATTAGTATTATACAAAAAATGTAAATTCCAGCATACATACCACACTATAACTATAGGCACTATACCTTTCATGCAAACCAATCAATATACGCTTAGTGGGATTTTTTTTTAATCAAAGACGTAACAGAATACATTTTTATCAAAATGTATGAAGAAATTAGATATTGTTTTATTTTTTGTTTTTTTGGATATGTTTTATAGCAGAAACTAAAAAAAATATATATTTTTAAAATTTTTGGTTTATATCACAAAAAATAAAAAACTCAGTGGTGATCAAATACCACTAAAAGAAAGCTCTAAAAAAATTATATAAATATTGTTTGTGTACAGTGTTGCACGACCACGCAGTTACCAGTTAAAGTCGTTCACTGTTGTATGGCAAAAATGGCCTAATCATGAAGGGGATAAAATCTTCCGGAGCTCAGTTGGTAATATAGAAGTAACCTGGGTGTGTGTATAGTCACCTGATCACTTTTACAGTGCTGCAGGTGTGCTCCCTGGTTCCTGGGCTCTCCTTCTCACAAGAAATGACTTCAGGATGTGTATGAAGCCAGAAGAGCTCAGTCCTGCACATTTCCAGCTTCAGAGCTGTTCTTGCCCGGCTGCTGTAGCTGGGAAAGCAGCTAAGTAAGCACAATATGTGCTTGATTAGCTGCAGTGGAGGGCATGGGAGACATTAGGAGTCTAATAGAGACCTGATGTCTCATAAAGAGTACCTGTCATCTGCCCAATATTATCACATAGCCCCCCTGTGATAGCAATGTTAAATGTTGAAAAAATAAAATATATACTGTATATATAATTACAATAAAATATTAAAAATTAAAGCAACTCATTGCCCTGCACACACCAACAGAATCAAATGCTTGCATATGGTATGCACATGTATGTAAAAACTGTTGTAACACACATGTGATATATAATGCTGCGAACAATGGAAACAGAGCAATAATTCTAATTTCTTCATTTATGATTAACTCTAAAATGATGAGCTGGGAAAGTTTTTAAACATCACCTATTGATAATTTTGGGTACGGTACCGTAATTTTATTGCCATTTTGTGGGTACATGCATGTTTTGAGGTTTGACATATTTGATATCTATTTATTCAGCACTACCTAATCTTGTATTTGTTCCAAAAATAGTTACTTCACAGAATGTAAGCAGTTTGATTAAGCTGAGAGATGAGAGAGAGAGATGAGGCAAGTTTAATTATGAAATAAAATTAGATTTTCTAGAAACAATTGCCAGAAATATTGTACAGTCCTTGCACAGTAAGCAGCTTTATTTGGCTGCAATTTAAAGCAGAGCTACACTCAAAAGGGAAAATTATGCTTTAAGGCTTCGTCCCCCACTCGCCATTAAGGATTGGCACCTTTGGGGAGTGGGCGGGGGACCCCGATTTTTACAAGTACCTGCTCCCACTTCCGCTGCAAATGCCTAGACGATCAAAAGTGAATGTTGTCCTCCCTTGCTCCCCGTAGTCTTCTGGGATGCATGACAGGTCCAAGAGGACTACGGGACCATTCACAAGCGCTACTCACACATGCACAGTGGGCTCCAGGCTGTGATGGCGCAAGCTAACACAGCCAGGTACCCACACTTAAGATGCAAGCGCCTTGGAGAGAGGACAACCAGTGAAACCAGCTGCGGTGAGAACAATGCTGGATTGAGGGACAGGTGAGTATCTGTTTTTTTAAAAGTCAGCAGCTACAGTTTTTGTAGGTTCTGACTTTTTTTTTTTCATTTTGACTGGAGCTCCGCTTTAAGAGGGAGAGTTTTTGGATTATATCAAAAAATAGAATGTATAGCCAGGTTTGTTTGGCCACAATGTAAGTTAGAAATATTACCCAGGTTTTATCATGAAACAAAATTTAGAGTGTTTTATTTCAGAGACAATAGCCACAAAATTTTAACATATGCTGCAAATTATGCAATAACAAGAAAAAGAGAGGAAGGCGAATCTAAATGCAGTATTAACAATTTATTAGTAGACAATGGAAAATTTGCACTTAGAGATGCCTTCCTCTCTTTTTCTTTTTACTGCATTAGAGCCTTGCTTCCACTCTAAGAAGAGCTGCCTCAGTGTTACTGCTTCCATCCATCCATCCCTGATATCCATCTGGCACCTTTATCTTACAGCTACAGAGGTTGGGCTCCAACAAGAGCGCCCTATATAATATACATTTTCTGCAACTTATGCAAGCAACTTGATTAGGTTGCAATGTAAGAGGAGATGTAAGGATGTTTTTATCTTGAATTAAAAATCAGTGTTTAAAGAGATATCCACAATCTTTAACTACACATATTTTTGAGTGCTAGAGCAAAGGAATAGGTTTCAAACATTTCAAACTATACAGCTGAGGCCCAGATGCATAAATATCATGTGAGGAACAGTGTCAGATCATCAAAATAGGGCAAGAGGGGACAAAAGAGCAGCAGGCAGCAGGCATTTATTGGCAGCAGGCCAGATACAGTAACTGTCAAGCCAGCAGAGGTGACATGAACCAGTTATGGTGGCAACGGCAGGCCACCAAAGGTGGAAGAAGCTAGTAATGTAGGCAGTCAAGGAGAGGTGGTCGGAGCTGGTAATGATGGCAGAGGCAGGTCAGCAGAGGTTGCAGGAGCTGGTAACAGTGACAGGCCATGGTGCCTTCAACAATCGCACCCCACCCAAACAACACCTGGGGTTTGGGAAGGGTGAAAAATCCCCTAGGAAGCTGTCCCATTTTCTTCCCCTCCTCACCACTGGTACCCCAAGCCACCCCCTCCCTGAATTCCACAGCAAGGGTGTATTGCATATCAGATGGTTGGCAAGCATCTTGTCTTCAAAGAGCATATGATCAGCTTCAGGTGAGTGCCGAATCTGCATAACCCCTCCACAAACATACAGGTGCTGGCCCGATCCGTGATCACAGATACAATGGAAAACCAGAATGGTTGGCCACACAAACAGCAATGTGGTGGATGAAATCCTTTATTGGATTGCTTGTCCTGTTCCCACATGATTACAGGGAATAGTTTTTGTTCTGCCAGTAATGGAAAGGTTTTTTCACATTAAAAATGTTTTTAATTGTAACACCAAATATGTAATTTATCTAATCACCTACCTTGCTTGTCATACACAATATGTAGGATGAACGAACAGAAAGCTGAAGGATAGGTTTCGTGAACACATGGGTGATGTGAGAAACAATTTTTCCACCAATGTATCTAGACATTTCAACTCTTTACATGGTGGTGATTGTTCCATAGTTGGCATCCAAGTGATAGAAAGGGTGAAGACTCCTGCTAGGGGGGGTGACACCGTTCGTGTTCTGTGCAAATGGGAGGTTTTTTAGATTTTTCATTTGCAGACACGCATGCCTCAAGGGCTGAATGCCAAGTGGGATGTTACTCATTTTTATGAGTAGGGTCGATTTTATTTTTATTTTTCTTCATTACATATAATTTTCATTATTATATTTAGGGGTTTTTTTCCCTTCCCTTCTTCCTTCCTGTCTGCACTGTGTACAGTAAGGGTTTTATGTATCCCTGCTTATTATGCCAGTTCCAAAGTTTATATATCTGTGATTTGTTCTAGGTACGACGCATATCAGCGGTGCCAATCAGTGATCACATGCAAAGTAGTAAGTCAAGATGTCACTTCTGACATCATTGCTTACTATGTGTGAAATCTTCTGAATGATCACAGAGGTCAGTACATGGTACAAGGCTATTCACAAAAGCGCCTTGTACCATGTGACAAGCTGTGACCAATCACATTGCATGTCACTCAGTACTTCTCAATGCCGTGCAATAAATGCACACAGGAGAAAGAGGAAATGATTGCTTTTACACCCTATATGTGGTGTAAAAGCAATCTGTGTAAAAAAAAAAAAAAAAAAATCTTCATCACCCCTCGTCACAAGAAGTACAGTGTCACTGATCATGGTGACACTGTACTGCTAGGGTGACAGTATGCAAAAGGCTATTCACAAAAGCCTTGTACCATGTCAGCTCACTCACTTCTGTCAAAATAAAAAAAAAATAATACAAGGCTATATAAAAA